ACTCATCGAAAATTAATTTTTCTTAATGCCATCTTCCCTCGGCGGGGATTGTCAAGCCCTCCGAGTGTATATCTGACATGAAATTAAGGCTCCTCATTAAAAACCAATCGACCACTCGGAGGTTCTTCCATTTGTTGGAAAACCATCAAGACGCACACCATAAATGGGAGGAGAAGTTCGGCCGAAAATCGCTTCAGCGGGCTACAAAGTGCCAAATATATGAATGCACATATAAATATAGATATATAATTGTATAGATTCAGTATTTAGAATTTCCGTTTTGCCTGCGTGACAGGTCAGTGTGTTTTCGCATAATTGAATTTCAAAATTCTTACATACAAATATGATGCAAATTTTGTTTATAACCAATTTATAACGAGTGCGTGTTGACAATTTTGTGCATGTTTAATCGCTCTAAAATACACGAAATAAGTATGTATGTATGTATGAACATAAATTTGTTTACATATTTAAATGAAAAAAAATTGCCAAAAGTCCCTCGGCTGTGGGAATTTTCAAAGCAGAAAACAAATTATTTTATACATACATATGTACATACATACAATATGCCTTTTAATTTGTAATGTGCAATGGTATTTGGAAGTGTGTAGAGGTGTAAATATATATATATATATATATGTGAGCATAAATTTAGTTTGAATTTGACTAAAAACCATATGAAAAGGAAATGTTTTTGCCTCCATATGACCTAAAAGTAATAAAAATGGTTTCAATATTTTCATTTATTTTACACTAATTGTTCGCACTTTCATCTATACCTTTCATATATATATATATGCATAATATTTTTTTAAAAAAAGTTGGTGTGTGTTGCTCTTTTCTCTTGGGACTTTTGAGAGATTTGTTAATGTCACGTCTGTAGGCGGACTAAGAAGCTCCGATCGGTTGGTTGAAGGGTGGCCCTTAAGGTGAATGCCGTCGGGTTTTACTTGCTTAGCTAGGAGAATTGTCAAAACTGAACAGAACTGTACCAGAACGTATGAATGTAGCCGTGTCTTAAGTACTTAAAGCACCAGCAAAATATTCCAATTTTAACAGTCTTCCCAGCGATAATTTGGACACAAGGGCATTCTAAGTAAAACATGTCAACAAGAAAACAAGTAAAGCCATTTGGCCAAAGCCTTTAGATGCATATTAGAGGTGTACGAACGATGAACCATCGATCCGCGTCCTTTGTAATTTTTCTCGTTTGTAGAACGTCAGGTTGATGGAATGTCTATTTCATCGACTTGGTTCACCATTCGCGGGTTTTAGAGTTCTCCTTTGCTTTTTCAAGCTACTTTGACCACCTAAACTTTAAAATTATCAAAATACGGTTTAACATGAATGCAGCGCAAGGCTTACAGGTGCTTTCCAGTTGCTCAACGGTGTATTTTCCTGCTCCTACGAGTTCACATATAAGCGATATGCTTTAAGGTGGATTTTTGGTTGACGCCCGTCCACTGCGGTGACAGTACCGAGTTCCTTTATATGACTGTTATAATACATCTAGATGTAAATTCCGATCATGCATGGATGTCAATGTCCAATTACGTGATATATCAGAGTCCGGTTAATGGATTGAACGGGACATTTATATTATATATGTCACATGAATTAACCCCCTTCAGTTCTTGTCCCGTTCAATCGGAATCGGAATCTAGAGTTATGCGCTAAATCGTTTTCCATTGTCGTGATCAAAAGTTTGATCGGTTGGTTAAAGGAAAATCTAGGGTTAAGGACCCGATTTGCCCGACGCCACACTTAGGTCGTAGAATCCTATCGGGTGTATCTCAATTATTCTCATCTATGCTTTTGCACAAAGTTTGTTTGTTTCAAAAACTGTCTTATTTTTTCGTCCTTTCTTGTTTGAGTATCTTAAAAGACATGACGTCTCATCGACCGGGCACTTGTGGTGTATGCAGAGCGTCAACATTGCCTAGTGCTTGATTCTCTAAGCTACATCAATGTCGCCGTATAACTCGAACATCTCATCGTATTATGGTCTGTGGTATTTGCCATTGTTAATGTGCAAAGAACAATTAATCTTCTGCAAAACCTTTCCCTCAAAAACCGTTTAAGTCCACATATAGGATGTCAACATCGTTCACCCTTCTGCACATTATGACTGCAAGTAGGTGGCGAGCGACTTCTTGAACTCGGTTTTCGTTCATCGAGAGAAGACTTTACTCAGTGAAAGTAAAAGTGTTTCCTCGTTGGATTTCAAGACTGACATTATTATTGGTTTTGATGCAAGATAGAAGATGCTATGAGTGTCACCACTGACATGGGTGCCGAGTCACGAATACCATAACTATTTAATTGCAGACAGGAGATATTTCTTCTAGTACTCGTTCATACCAGACCCACACGCTTTGCTTTCTTATCTAGTTTGGAGAAAGCAGAACACACGGTGTGGCTCTTGAGATCAATGCTGGCAACATCAGCGGCGTGCTATACACTCTTATAGAAGATCGTACCTTGTCTATTTAGCTCTGCAGCTCCTGTTATTTTTTCAGCAATCAATTAATTTGCGGCCGCGGTAGCCAAGTGGTTAGCATTGCCATTCGGAAGGCTCGGGAGCTTTTGGTGAAGCTTAACGTCAGCTACTCGGTCGTATAAGTTATACGAGGTTGCCAAACTCAAGCATTACGGTGTAGAGGTAACTGCCTTTCTTGCTGTCGAAGGCTACTTTAAAATCTACAAAGTGTTTGTGTGTGTCAATCCTCTTTTCACTGTTCCTTTCCAAGAATGTATGGTATGGTTCTCTGATCTAAGCCACACTGATAAGGTCCACTCCGTTAGCTGACGGTGAACTTTAATCTTTCCCACTATAGCACAGATTGTGGACTCCCCTTATTGTGGATTGAGCGGAGCACATTTAAGTACAGAAAACTATACTTCACAAGATCATTTCTGTAGTCAGTCTTCATTTACTTTCTTTGCAAATCGAAAGTTGACAGACCCGCGATAAACTGTAGGCCTAAGTGTGCTGCTTACTTCGAACATATTTTTCAAAGAAGCAGATGCATGCTCTTTTCCAATTGATCGTCGCCGAACTCAAATAGATACCGCTTTATTGTTTTTCAAGCCGGCGACTGCTATTTGAATTTTTTCAAATTCAGGCAATGAAACATCGGTTCTATCGTCATCTCCTGATTTTCCATTTTTACTGCCATTCAGGAGGCTGCAGAATTTTTTCCTCTATAAATGCGTAAAGTGTATAAAGGTGTTTTACTCCCTCAAAAATCCACTGATTATAAAGCCTCACCAGCGGTGCTAACAAGAGCAACCTCGGCAGCTGTTTCGTTACCTTATATAGCCGTGTCAACTGGGGTCAAAATGAATAAAACTGTAATCAAAGGATTAGTTTCACATCCAAGGTTGTTGCCTAAAATCGATTGGTTTGTCGGCTACCCAAGACACTTAGTCTTAGATGTGAAGTCTCGAGCGCCTTGCACCATATGTTCCACAATCATTTCATGCCCCTCAATGGCTGACACCTGGGTGTCCAAAATCAGCTCGAACTAAAATTCTCCGAAATGGTCCCACAATTCCTACTCAAGCTTACTACTTTCCCTCTTACCGTGAGCTGGAGTACATATTGCCATCTTCCCAAAGTAATAAAACAGTAAATTAAGCACATCCCTCATGAAAGGTATAAAGTTTTTCGCCACAGCGGAGAGCATTTGCACAATTCAAGTGCTTTATTGATGTCAACAATTTGCTGAAGTGACGTTGGGGCATCTGCTTTTTGACTTTTACGCTTCACAAATGTTCACTTTCAATTGCTAATTGCATGCGAAAATATATTATATATGCATGTACATACATACATACGGTTTATGTATTTAAAATCTTGCTATTTTTATAAAAATTGGCTTATTCATTCCTGCTCAGATGTGTACATACATTCGTATGTACATACATTTGTATGTATTTAGGTATGAGTTTTTATTTTTTGTATGTGGGAAAAAATCACTTTCAAATTTATGCACTTGAAAACTTTTAATTGAAAACCAAGAATGAGCGCATTTAATGTCATTTCTCGCAGACGTACATACATACATACATACATACATACATACATACATAAGTAGAAAATTCCGATTTCAAGTTAACTTTAGTCATTCCATTGGATGGTTGAACATGCAAGCCTTGTGTATATCTATATGTATTACAACAACAAATTCCTACACCTTTGTCGATGTGGCGTTCCACCGCTCATCTCCCCACCTTTCACTTGGTTCGGTTCTGATAAGTTTCACATTTAATTTATGGCGCTCAATTAAGCCACCGTTGAATTTGCTTACACTCCAATCAACTTATCCTCAGAACACCTACATACATACACACACACACACTCTCACGCATATACACGTATGCACACACATTGACACACCATTGTCTGGCATTGTTAGCTTGAAATATTTGAGATTTCAGCATAATACACTCCAACTCAACACATCTACAAATACTAAGTACTAACCACCTACGACTCATTACTCTTTGTCTAACAATTATTTTGCATTTTCCGCCTTTCTGCATGCATACATACATACATACACGCATACATATCTATTCTACTATAAAATATCTCGCCAACTCATTGTAATCCTTCCTCCCTTCCTTCCCACACAGCATCATTCGTCAGCTAGAGGGAATTTATGCGCTTAGCTTCTAGCTAGTGCCAGGTGGGAGCATCAGTCACAAAAGTGCAAAATCTTCTACCCAGACTCTCAACAAAAGCTCTGTAGATACTAAATATTTACTTACTCGTTTAGCTAGCGGAAAATTGTTGTCATCGCTGTCGTCGCCTTGTCGTGGTCTTTGTCGTCGTCGTTGTTGCCACAGAATTTCAGTTAGTCTCACATATTCTACGAAAACCTTCAAACCTTCTACATACAAGCAGGCGTAAGGTGTAAATGTGTTCTTATGTCAAGGTATAATACTCTTCGCTATAGTTCTCTACAGCAGTATTCTACAAAGAACACATATGTAGATATGTATGAATGTGTATTAAGAGTGCCACTAGGAAAATCTTTAAAAAACGAATTTATATAATTAAAACATGTAAAAGTCACGGGGAGTTCGAAAGATAGAAAAAAGAGCCATCTTCGGTCGTGTCGAAGTATTTATACCTTTGATGAAATTTATGACTTTTCGTTTTGGGATTAGATATTAAATCTCATTCCTAAAAAATTGGTCGAAGGGGACCTATATGACAAAGTTTTACGATTTCTATGAAATCTCATTCTCTTAGCTTCTCTTTTGACGTAGTTTTGACCCAAAATCTTATATCTGTATAAATCGGTTGTGTGGAGGCTATTCGATTTCGATGATTTTCGGTGATAAGACTTTTTTATAGATACGTATGTACGAGGTGTGACAATAAAGTAATGAGACCGATTATATTGTTGCGATTCTGGTAACCCTGCGATCTTGCATCTTCACTCCCGTCATCCTTCTCTTCTCCATTGATATATTTACCATCTAGCTCTAGCTTGTTTAGTACGCCTGCTGTGTCGTGTTGAGTAAACCTGTGTTTGTGGTGCTCGTCACGAAAATGGAAAAACGAAATCAAAAGCAACACGTCGCGTTAAAATTTTACGCCAAATTGGGCGACTAATACAGGCGAATAGAGCTGGTTTTTTCAATACGAGCCGGAAACCAAACGCCAAAGCTCACAATAATTTTCTCCGCACGCCCCCCGTCCGAAAAGAGCTCGCATGAGCAAGTCGTAGGTGAAAACGATGATTATTGCCTTGGGTGATAGCCGTAGAATCGTCCACAAATAATTTCTTCCACCGGGGCAAACCGCAAATCAAGTCTAATATCGCCAAGTATTAGAAATATTGCGAAAACGAGTCAACAGAGTGCGGCCAGACATCGCACGTAACTGGATTCTTCATCAGGACAGCGCGCCGTGCCACACCGCTCTCTGCGTGTCACAGTATTTGACTTCTAAAGGGTTCGCCGTGTGGCAACAACCGCCTTATTCACCCGATATGTCACCCTGTGACTTCTATTTGCTCCCTTAACTACAATAAAATAGGTGGTCAAAGGAACCCATTTTGATTCGATTGAGGACATATAGGCGACCCTGATGAGGGTATTCTGGGACATCGCAGTCGAAGCGTTCGATAAATGTTACGAAGCATTGAAAACGCGCTGCATTCTTTGTATAGCTGCACAAAGGGACTACTTTGAAGGGGATGGCAGAGTTGTATAATAATTTTGAAACATACGGTTTATGTGGAATCAATTTCATTACTTACTCGTATAATACCAAATTTCATACTTTTAATTTATGTTTTAACGAAGTTCTGATCAAAGCTTCTTATCTAAAAACTGCTCTCATGGTAGCTATATATTATAGTGGTCCGATTTCGATCAACTTCGACACCAATATATAGTCCATCAATTGAGTGCAGAATATCAAATTCAAGCTTTTTAGATGGATGGATGGATTGGTCATGAATATGCTATGGAGGTCTGTTTTGGCCAGTTCCCACAAATGATAGTTTGAATGTACCAGTGAATCGGTTCAACCAAAGTTTGTTTGAAATATCTAAAAACTGATGGACTAGTTTGCTTAGAAACAGACGGCAAATGTACCCAATCAACTCAACTCGTCATTCTAACTCGAAGGGTATATAGTTTGATGGATCTATATCTTCTCCTTCAGGTATTTACATACCAAAAGATCAAACTTCATGTCATTTGTTGCACATGAAAGGTATAAAAATTCATTTTTGAAGAACTCAAGAGTCAGAAAAACCTGAACACGTCCAATCACCTAGCAGAGAAAATAATATTCTCTATGAACAACTCAAATTTGAATTACATCAATGATGAAATACATGAAATGCCTTCTCTCGCTCAGAAATGGAACTGCACACTGAAATCTTCTCTGATATGAAGAAATTTAAGAACCATCTAGCCCAGGTAAAAGCACCGGAACCAAAACCAAAAATGGAGACTTATAAGGGCAAGGATGGCATGAATTAATCGAGTGTAGAGTTTAATCTACCTACCATCAAGGAACAGTTTGAAATAGCAGCAAAAAAATACTTAACAAAACTGCGTAACCAACCGAACCCTTTGGCTGGCATCTGTGCCTATTCAATAAGTCAAGCCCACCTGCGAGGAAGAGACAAAGCATCCTTCTAAAGAGTAAGGTCAAGCCAGCAGTTCATTCCCGCTAAAGCAGTTTTCAAACAGGATTAGTCAGAAAATATGGGGTTGAAAGTTGGCATATCAAGCAATATTTTTTCCCTCAAGACAGTTCTGTAAATCGTCATTGTGAGTGAGAGAGATATTTTGATTTGAAATTGGGCAGAGTTTCCGTAAAAACACTTTATGGGATGACCTTTTTTTTATAAAAAAAAATATAGGTAAAAGTGCTTCAAAATTTTGCCAAAAAATTGTTGTGAATTACTGTCAGAAAGCCCTAAATAAACGCTGGACCCAAGACTGATTCGCTCGATTCTAATCCGGAAATTTTGATGTCAAAGGTTCACCTCGTTTTAGACGGGCAGTAAATGAAAAAGTCCTTGAAGTTCTGTTACTAGAGGAGCAAGACTTGCATGTTAGCTGCCAGGAGATATCGAAGGCACGTAGCATAATTCACGTGACATTTTGGAATCATCCAAAAAAGACTGGCTGCTGAAAGAAGCTCGATGCTGCCACATAAATTAATGCGAAAAAGTTTGATTGACCAGACAATCAGCATTGTCATTACTCAAACGCTTCTTAAACGGGTCAAAATCCCACCACTTCTATAGCAACTCATGATGGGCTAAGAAAAAATGTTTAAACACGAGAGTACATACCGTAAAGATTCTTATCAAAGACCAATGAACCTTCCCAAATATCTTCAAAGCTTCGATGGCAAGCATAGTGATACTAAGTGTATGGAATGATTGGTTTATGCAAAATGAAAGTTCCGGAGAAATTTTTCTATAAACCAAAATATTGTA